AGGAAGAGGGTGTGCCCTCAATACAGTGCCCTCTCCAGGGAGAGCTACAGAATGACACCTGGGGCTTTGGACACCCACTGCACGTGGGCGAACCCAGGGAGGGAGAAGCTGGCGCCGCCCGGAGCTGACTGAGCTGTGCTTCTTTGCAAAGAACAGACACCGTTTCGCCCTTCTAGGACGTGAGGACACTTTAGAGGCTGAATGAGTACGTGTGAAAATACACACCCCCAAGGAAGGCAGACACATTCCACTGACCAGAGGTATGGTTTTCCCAGATCTCCACAAAGTCTTTTACACAGCCAGAGGAATTCTGAAGGTTCAGGTTTTCAAAATGGATGGTGAGATAGTGTCCTGAGGGTCCCTGGAGACGCCACTCACAAAATAAATTGTCTGTATATGGAAGTGTTGGGTATCCGATGCTTTCAATGACACCACTGTGCCCTGTCACTCTCCCCCCACACAGGGCTGCAAGAAAAATAAAAAAATAAAAATAAAGAGCAATATTCTATTATAGTTTTTTTGTTTTTTGTTTTAAATCTCACCAGCACATTTGAAAACTCTTAGGTGCCAAGTGAATATGAATTGAAGTTTTAAAAATTCTGGAAGTGTTTGGTTAGTGCTTATTATGGGAAATCTACTATTGATATGAAGAGAAATAATACCACAAGTTTAATCCAATAATGGGAAATGAAAGACTGGAACACTGTGGAATGACATGTTTTGTAATGTCTAATTCTCTTGGGACTCCATGTAAAAGCTAGTCATTGCAAGCACGCTTCATTTCAAGAACCAACTGACAGATCGTTAGGGCCTGCCTTGTACCCCATGTTGGTGATCCTGCAGACTGAGTCCAAACTCAGCTGAAAGGGTGCTGTGGTTCACTAGTGATGCCAGCCTTTCTAGTTGAACGGTCAAATACAGTTACCGCAGTAACCAGTATCTCAGGGCCTTGAAAGTTACCACCCAGTCATTTCTCATTAGCTGGATGTCATAGATCGAATTATATATAATTTGCCTCAGGCTATAAAACAACCTATGGTGTAGGTTAAATGGTGTTAACAACTAGGCTTTCTGAGTTTGGGCTATATTTAATACGCTTAGTTATGTCCAGACCCACTTTCAATCTATGTCATTGTGACCATATTATAGTGAATCTTCAGCAGGCATATTTATTGCTCATTTTTTAAGTAAGTAAATCAAAACACTGAAGGACATTCACTTTTTGTCTACTGACTGATTTGGCACTAGACTTAGTGGGGAAAAATCCCAATTATCTATTAATGAAGAGGAGGTCATAGTCACTGTTCTAAATAGAGTTATTGATTACTAAAAAGCTTTACTATTTAAAGTAATATTATGCATATTTCATAAGAGGAAGAAACAAAAATTTGATTTAACTGAGTATATTTTTCACAAATTAAGAAAAAATACAAAATAGTCATGTTTACTAAAAAGTGCTTTAAAATGAAAATCAAAGTAAAAACTTTAATTGATAAATTAAAATGATAAATTGATATTTATATTCCTTACCTATTTTTATCATTTAAATAATTATTAAAATTAGGCAGATAGACAGACTTCTTTTAAAATGCTGTGCTTTTTTAAAAAAAAATTTTTAATGTATTTATTCTATCACTACTTTCTTATTGAATATAAAATGTGTTGTTACCTATAGAATACTTGGCCTTGAATCCCACACTAGTGGCGCTGTTGTCAGTCCGGAATCTCAAATATATCACCTCTCCTGAAGACAACTGACTGCTGGGCAAAGATGTCCCACAAAGCTTGGAAATTATTGGTGCATTTGAATCAGCTCCATCTCGCAACTCAAGATAATTGGATGTACAGCTGAAGTGGAAGAAAATTCCGTTTCATACATAAAGATAATTGCTTTGACATATTTTGATAAAGAAGACTTCACTAACTTTCTCCAAGAGCATTATCAAATCATCATTTCTGGAGCACAAGACACTACGACAGTCAATTTAAGAGATGTGTCACTTCAGAATATTGTATATTTTTCCTAATCGTAACACATCCATTAGTAGCTCAAAAAGACTGGTTTTACATGTACTACACTAAAGAATATTTACTTGCCTTCTACATTCTGAATTAGTTTTACAAATATAAAATTCATTCTCAAATTTACCCCTAGGAATATCAAAACACCAAGTCTTTTGTTTCACATAATGATTCAACACATAGAAACCGAGAGTCCTTACAACTTTGATAAATTTAGTTTTAAGTCTTAGCTCTATAAATCGTATCCCACCCCTCTCTATACCCTTCAGAGATCTAGCCTTTCCTCCGATAATCTGCAACCCCCTAGGCGGCAGAAAAACAGCAGCCCAGACCTGACAATAGTCACACACACTCCAGAACTCTGGCAGGCTAAAGATAACATCTCGACTTAAATGTGTTTCAGCTCCTGAGTCCTAAGGTGGAATGACCCCTTGGCTACTTTCCCATGAGACTAGGCAGAGGGACTCTCAGAACAAGACCTCAGAACTGTCCTCAAGACTGGAAGAAATGATTCATTGCCCTCACCTCACCTCCCACCCATAGGATCCCCACACGACCCCAAACCCCTAAGCCATAGAGTCTTGTGATTTGCCCTAGAGAATCTGTAAGCTACACAGCATCGGGGAGTCCTGGGCTTTTGAGCACTGGCTTCTGGTTCTTCCAGATGGCACCATTCATAACAAAAGAGCCACTATTTCTCTCCCACAGTTCTTGATGTCTAAGTGTTTGGCTCTGCCTGTGCCAGGTGGGCAAACTCTTTCTGTTCTATACCATTTCACATGGCAAAGATGAACTCTCCCTTGAAAGCTTTGTGACCTGAGGTAATTTAGAGTCTCTGTTAGAATTTTCTATGTCCATAAAAGTGGCAAGTGTTAGCCCAATATTTCTTGAGAGAGTCAATTAGCCAATTAACGCTCGGTGAGCAGGAGAGTGGCATCATATGATATGGCCAGAAATGGTGAGCAAAAGCTCTCGTATCTAAGTTTTGTACCACACACTTACTCGTGCAAATGTGTACACACTTCTGTTAAATGAAGAAAAAGACAGATGGTTTTTTTCAGTCTACATAATTATTCTCTTTGTGTTCAGCATAGTAAGACTTACTTTCTGATGTGTAATCTTTCAGAATTCTTATTAAATAGAGATTAGGAATTGTACTGTACTTGCTTTAGTCCTGTTTCTGACACCGGTGACCCCTGGTGTCATATAACACAAATTTCCATTTGTTAAACAGATATTTTATCATTTATGACACTGAGTATGAGGCTGGGCAAATAAATACTCATCTACCAGAAACACTATATTTTTCCTGTGAGAGGAAGAACAGATCACCTAAATCTCAAAAACCCATTCTCTATGTACATCTTGGAGGATGTACATAGGGTCACGAGGGACAATATCTGTGTACATAATCTGCTCAGCTGACAGGACAGTGGCTGGCAGACAACGTTTTCGCGCTGGAGGCGTTAAGCATTTTCCTTCTCCATCCCTAGATTTCCGACGCCGTCTATGTTGCTGAGAAGAGAAGCAGGAAATTGTTTTGTGACAGCTAAAGAATACTAACTCTGGGTAGGAAAGAAATTAAATGGAGGTGACCTACTTGGGTGTGATTGTAATACTGAACTGATCCTCAAACTGCAGTCTTACGAGCTTTCCAGGGGGAGCAGAGATAAGCCAAATGCAATCAGTGTGCTGGGGGTAATTGTCAGGGTGGTTGGGAGAGGTCACGTATCCAGCAGAATCCGCATCATGGATGTAGATGTTGCCCCCACAGGCTGTGAGAAAACACAGTAAAATCAATCTACATTCTGAAGAAAGGGGATGCAGTCAACTGCCATGATCATTTTTCATAGTCTCTTTAGCTGTATTTCCAAACTCAATTTCCTATCACCTGAGATTATCCTCATTTACTTTTTAAGCAAATAAATTCTGAATTTGCTCTCAAGGGAGCTACCATAGGTGTCCTTTTTTAATTTGCCAAACCATATATTCTCTTCAGAAATTTCACACTTCTTTAAAGCCAACAAAATGATTATGTTGCACGGTGCATGCAACAAAATGGCATGAAAGCACTACTGTATCCCCACCACGTGGATAAATAAACGCACTAGTACTTATAACTGCCCACTGACTGTTCGGTTCAGTAGAATGATGCAGAGCTGTGATCTTCACGTGTTTAAAAGACTAAGCAAATGTATATTTGTACAGCTCTGGGTGTTCACTCATGTTTCTTTAGGATATAGATGCATTCGAAGAGCAAGAGATGAATAGCATGAGAGAATTTATTAGCCATTTTTTTTTGCAAGAAGATAAATGAACTTTTAATACTTTTCTAAAGGACCAAAGTACTAGGTAAAAATACTTTCCTTTTATAAATGAACATTATTTTGGCAATCTCTGCAAACAAGCCAAGCAATGAACTAGGTAAACTGGGTACTTAACAATTCCAATGAAATTAACCTGTCCCATAACTTAGCCTCACAGACACCAGATCTGCTAAATTCTATTAACATTTATTTCTGCTATCATTCAGCCACTTGTCATATCCTGAATTCTGTCATTACCCAGAACTCCTTCATCTTTGAAATCCTGAACTGTAAATTCCTTTGAATGCCTTTAACTCCCTCACCCCTGGTTTTTCCTTCAGACTCTCCCTGCAAAATCCCAGTTCTGTGGTTATATTCAATTCAAACCATTCATGGAAATTGATGTTCTCCACGCTCATCACTGCCAAGCAATCCTCCCATTTTTTAATATAAACCACAACAGCGATTTGAAACTTGACTATACTCCTCAAATCCTTCCTTCTTGTTATTCCTTCTCTAGTCTCAGAATAGGACTCTGAATTCTCCTTTAGAAAGAAGTAGAAGTCAGATGAGAACTCCCTCAATTTGTCACCATCTTCTATAAATTCATCTGTATCTCCACGCTCCTTTGTTTTTCACCTATGCACTGCCTTCCCGCACCTCTGGGCTGGGCGCCCGTTTCACTCTGTCTTCTCAGGGACCCTGACCTATTTAAGCCCTCCACTTATCTACTTATCCTATGATTTGAATCTCTGTTTCTGTCTCTCTCTCTCTCTCTTTTTCTCTCTTCCCCACCTGCTCCTTTAATCTTTCTATATATCACAAGCCCAAGTAATTTACAGTCTCTTTCTTCACTTCCTCACCACCCTCTTTCTGCACCTCTTCATCCTCCTTTCACTTTTCAACCTACGAAAGCCTTTTTGTCCAGGTCTCCAATTGCCTCACAGTGGTGTGCCCGAGGATATTTTTAAATTTTTATTCTATATCCACCGCATTTAACATGATTGGCCACATATTCCTTCTTTATACTTTTGTCCCTTAGTTTCTTGGACACTAAGCTCTTCTCCTTCTTCTTTGATCCCTCTTGCCAATCTCTCCTTTGGTCTTTGTGTGCTCCTTTCCAGGCCTTTCCAGAGCAAGGTCCCAGGAATCGCTCTGCAGGTCCACTTCTCAATCTAAATAATTTTCTGATTAATGTCATCCATCCTCATGACTTAAACTACTCGCAGACTTCCAATGATCCGCATATTTCTAGAGTCAATCCAGATCCCTCTTCTTACCTTCAGACTCCCATTCCAACAGCCCACGTGGACGTAATTCTGAGAGTTCAAAGTGAACATGCCCCAAGCCAAGCCGATTAACTACTCGCCACCCAGAGGTCTACATACGAGTGAATGAATGTCACCTCCCCTTCTTACTAATTCCCTATCCTTCTCCACTACCTCATTTTTCTCCCTAATACTTTTTACTATATGACATACTATATATCTTATTTATTATTTGTACTTTAACACTAAAATTAAGCTCCATGAGTTCATGAACTTTATTTGTTTACTGCTATATCCTCAGGACCTACTATAGTGTCTGTCACATGGTAAATTCTTTAACAATGTGAGATAAAAGATCCATGCAGTCAGAAACCTATGGGCCATCTGTGCTGCCTCCCATGCCTTCCCCCCGTCTCCACATCTAACTGACCTACAGAGCCACTCAATTCCGAATTTGTAATATCTCTCAATATGTCCTCCCTCCTAAATTCTTATTACCATTGCCTCAGTTCAGGACTTAATAATTATTTCCTGAATTACTCTTTCATCTGGTCTCTCTACCTCCAATGTGTTTTCAGTGCTATAGTCACACTGAAGTTTCTAACATGATCACAGCACTCAGCCTTTGTATTAAAATCTTTCAAGGTTTCCACATTGCCTTTCTATTAAGATCCTAACTCCTTATGGCGGCATCTACAGCCCTTAGCGTTATGATTCCTGCCTGCTTCATCACCATTAGACTCTTCTCCTTTGGGCTCTATTCTCTAGCAGTGGTGAATTCTTTCAAATCCTTGGATATGCCTTATTATCACACAACCATTCAGACTTCATATGCTGTCACATCTTTTCCTCACTGACTGGCAAATCTCCACTCATCTCTTTCCTCTGGGAGCTTCTCTTATCCTCTAAGCCAGGCTAGGTGTTTCTCTAACATGTCCACAGAGCTCATGATGCATTCCTCTGTCTAGCACTCATCATGCCATGTTCTAACTGTGCCTTTGTTTGTCCATCCGCTGCACTGAAAACTCCTTGACAAAACCTGGTAGTTTGCAAAGTGCGAAGCACTAAATAAATGTTTGGTTAACTAATTAATAAGCCAATATCATGTGAAAATAAAAAGCATCGAGCATAGGGACATGGAAATCTCAATCGACCATACTAAAGGAGTGTCTCT